GAAGAGCGGAGGTGGAGACGAAGAAGGTGGATTCGGAGGAACCGGGTTCGATATGGATGATCAACAGAAAACCGCCGGAGAATATTCCGGAGACGGTGATTCGATCGGTTTGTGTGAGGGATATGGGGACGGAGATGACGCCGATCGGGAGCAAAGAGCCATCGAGGACGGCGACGCCGGTGAGGAACACAACGCCGGCGGCCAGAAGCCCTGTCTCATCGCCGACGAGGGTTGGTGAAACGGTGCCGGAGATGGTGACGGAGACTAAGAGCCAAGTGAATAAGAGTTCTGGTGAGGATATCAGTAATGGTGATAATAAGGTTGGGAAGACGATGAAGGCTTTGGAAGCTCGAGCTATGGCGTGGGACGAAGCGGAACGAGCTAAGTACATGGCAAGGTGATCAACCAAAAAAAAAAAACTTGCATTTTTTTTTATCTGTAGAATTCTGCATTTTCATGTTTAGTTACGACGTAGTATTCCTCGCATCTTTGATGTTTAGATTTCAAATTTTGACGTGTTGAAGGTATAAGAAGGAAGAGGTGAAGATCCAAGCATGGGAGAATCACCAAAAGAGGAAGGCTGAGATGGAGATGAAGAAAATGGAGGTACTCTTGGTTTTTTTCTATGGTATTATGCCGTCAAACCAAATTATAAGAGTTTATATCAAAGTTCGACCGTACCTAACCCTAGCCCTAAGTGAGTTTCGAACGAGGGATTTGTTATCTCAAAATCGTCGATCACCCCTCATCCCCTCTCACCTTGTACCTTGCCACTCCCTTCACGTTCACACCTTGCCTCACCTCGCCCATTGTCTGCGAGCCTAACCTTAACCTTAGACACGTCTGTCGATGGATATCTACGGACACGGATTCTCGCCGGCCGGCTGATCAACACCCAAATCCGAACCTAAAGACCGGATTTTCCGCTGTTGTCGGATCTGTACTCATCCCATGGATGGATGCATATACAATTCCCGGATATTCGATGACATAGTCTACATTTTCCCCATGGTTCATAAGATTGAAAACTAACGAGATGGTGGGGAGTGCAGGCGAAGGCGGAGAGGATGAAAACGAGGGCACAGGAGAAACTGGCGAATAAGCTCGTGGCAACGAGGAGGATAGCGGAAGAGAGGCGGGCAAATGTGGCGGCGAAACTGAACGAGAAGGGGGTGAGGACGTCGGAGAAGGCGGACTATATGAGGAGGAAAGGTCACTTGCCTTCCTCTTTCCTCTCCTTCAAGCTTCCTTCTCTATGTTGGTAGGAGGAGGAGGAGGACGCATTCACTTTCCATTCCACCTCCCTCTTCTCTCTGTTGCTGTATTCTTTCTTTCTTACAAGTTACAAAGAGTTTCCTTACTAGGCAATGGGAAAAAAACCCTCATAAAATCTAATGGTTTGATGAAAGTATATACTAAGGGTTAAATGGTTTCCTGTCGTGTATACAATACACAGATTTATCAACATTTACCCTACAACTTTGAATTCAATTCTCTGACTCTAAACTAAAAAGTTTAGACTTGAAAAGCTCTAAATTTTAGGAGAAAGAATTATGACCTTAAGAGTATGATGGCCTCATCCGTTGTCCGGAGCTTCTGACGATTAGTGTATTCTTCGAAACTGTACACATAATACAATGATGGCCTCATCCTATGTATAAATTCTTGTTTGAATTAAATTGTTACGAAAGGAAATGGAATCAGGATCTCTAACACGACGATGAAGCTCGTCTCTTTCCTCAGTCTCTCTCCCCCTACTCATCATGGATGTTACCATTGTCCCTGAAGATGAGGTGGTGAAGGATATAAGCTTCTATGATAAAACAACAAGATCCTCGAGGGCAAAGTGATCGGATTTCGCTGATGATTCATTTGTGTCCTGCAAGTATGATCTGAGTTTTGTGTTCGGCTTTTCAAGGATTCTGATGTAAACGTTGGGTCAGAGAATGATCTTCAGACTAACCTTGTTTTTCGGCATCTTCTCTTCATTCAACGCCAAAAACTACAGTCTTGCCGAGCACAAAGGTAACTAGCGAGAGTTCAATGAAGAAAATCGTGTTTATGAGATGCCTGTCTACTGTCCACCCGAATATTGTTATGCCACCAGGATTTGTCTGTAAATACATTACTGCAATAACAAAAAAAACTGTAAGAAATATATTTTTCCACTCAGTGTTTGAGGGCATTTTTCAAAACAAAAAACATGAAGAGGACAAGCAAATAAGAAGGGGGAAGAACACCTCTTACCAAAAGCTTGTCTTTTGTGATATGAGGACATGTAAGAAGCAAAATGGGGATTATTATTAGTAGGCATCCTCACATAATCTAAGGACTCCAGATCACTTTCGGAATAGTCTATTGGTATTGGTAGTGCATTCAGTTGATTTGTGAAATCCAAACTTCCCCCACTCGGGGAAGCCCTCATCGGAGTAGAAGAATCTGACGAAGTACAAGACATTACTGCGTGCCATCTACTTGCAACTGATGCAATTGCTTGGGCTCTATGAGAAATTTTCGTGGCCGCATGCAAACACAGGATTATACCCACAACTTGGACAACTGAGGAGACCTGAAAAATTGACCCAGTGAGATGAGTACCAACACACTCAAGAGTTATTCTACAGCTACTGACAGTTTACACTTATGTCGGTAAAGCTTCAATAGATATGGGAACAAGAAATAAGAAGCAGAAACTTCACTTACAGCGAAATCACCGCCATTTATGTATGTGATACGCCCACTGTATACGGTTGTCTGGAAGAGAGTAATGAATTGGCTGGCAGTGACAACCAAAAACTGCAGGAGGAGAAAAATCCGGAATCTATGGCTTATTTTGGAGAGATAATGCCGAAGGCGGATGTGCTCATAGATAAAAAGGGAAATGTCAGATTCCCCTTCGAGGAGTTTTGCATAATCTTCAAAGTGAATTACTTGAAGATTGCAAACTAGATGAAACATGGCACTGGCGGCAAGAAAGATGGTGCTCAAATAAGTCCAAGACAAGATTAAAGACAAGAGAATAGCAACAGATAGCCACCATGAGTCATGAGTTACATATAAAATCCGGATAATCTCTCGGGCAGCTTTCAAAGCGAAACAGGGGAATGACCAAACTGCAAGCAGTCTCACAGAAGCCTGCAATACAATGAAGAACCTCAAAAATCAATTTAGCTACAACAAGGAAGGATCAAACAAAATTCTTAGAGCAAATTCAGAAATACAGAAGACCGTGCAAAAGCAACCAATGCGAAATGCATAAAAACTATTACTTCAAAATCATTTCTCTCAAACTAGATACAGATGCAGAACTAACAGTCATATTCATACCCAGAAGTTGATGCCTAGGGCAAATAGAAGAATCGATACGTACAGAAATCTCTCATATCAAGAACCAAGGATCTTAGGATCAAGTCAAGAAGTAAATCAACCAAGCAATTTCACACTATGAGACTAAATCGCACACGATGCAGCATTCATCAATCATCAACAGAGAAATTTGAACGACATTGAAACTAGGAGAAAAGTCAAACAGCAGACCGTAATCTGTTTGATGTATCTATCTTTGAGCCGTCCCATTCGTCCACTGAGTTGATCCACAAATAGAAACTTCCTCATCCCATGCTTCCTCAAATTATGCGAAACGCAAATCAGAGAAACACCGGCCAAACACGCCTGTGAAACCACGATGTCGAGCTCGAAATTTTTGTACTGGTACTTCTCACATCCCCGGCAATGGCTGAGCTCCAACACCGTCACCGGAAGCGCAACGCCGATGGCGAAGAAAGCCATCCACGACAAGACGAAGCTGAGAGCCGACGATTGATTGAACCCCAGGAACGTCAGAAACGTCTCGAGCCTCTGCATCGTCCGGTCGAGGTCATCATCGTTGGCGTCAACGCTCTCTCCTCCTCCGCCGCCGTTGCTCCGCCGTAATTGATCCAACGGAGGTTGACTTGAAACGAGCAACGGCGTATCCGCAGGAGGCGATTGCTCCCTCTCTATGGGAGAATCCGCCATTGGAGCTTTAAGCGAAGACGTTTCCAGAAATCTCCATTAGGTTATTACGAATACGATGAAAACGGAGAAAAATCGGAGCTCGTTAATGGCGGTTTTGATCTCAAAGCTGAAAAAAGAAATTGAAAGAGGAAAAAAACGAAGAAAGAGCTGAAGAGTGGGGCAGAAGATTTGGAAGGGAATTTTTAAACCCATTTTTCGACAGAACGATATTCAGACCGTTGGATTAGTAACTGTTGTTATAGATCAACGGTTAATAATCGATGATCAGTACATGATACAGTAGGCTACGAAGCATGCGATTCTTGTGCGTTGGTAATTGTGTTGTGGCGTTAGATTAGATTAGACCTGTCAAAAGCTAATTATGATTAATTAATTATAATATAATAAGATTACTGTGACGGCAGATATCAATTTTCTAATTATGATTAAGAGAGAGATTTGTCTCTTTGTGGGAACAGAAAGAATTAAAAAGACTAAATCACAAATCACATGACCTTGTATTTACTTAATTCCATATCTAATTTTTTTTAAAAAAATTTAACTTGAATGATGCACTATAAACTAGATTAATAATCCCATTTAATGTATGTATGTACTTGAAAAATTTGCAACATAATCATAATCATATTACAAAATGGACCCAATTTTTGCGTCAAATGACAGAACAACAATTGTTATTTGAGAACGTAGCTGGGTAATAGCTGTAACTTAACAAATAAAAAACATTGCATAAATTATATTGGAGAACTGATCAATAAAAATTATTATTTGAATGCTAATAATATATCAATTTGGTGGAGTGGGGTCAAGAGATATGGACTTTTTTGTTAAACCGTGGTCACAAAAACTGATCGATTCTATGTAATATTCGTCAAACCACGCGAAATAAATAAATAAATCAAAACTGATCGTTTCAAGAGAAATTCAGATATAAAGAAAAATAGAATTCATAATCTCGTCTAGAGTAGATTTGTCATTTTGCAACTAAATTGGAGATTTCTAAAAGACATGACTTAAATATATGGATATATCAATATGATTATTATTTTATTTATTAAAAAATAATTTAAATAAAATTAATAAAAATTAGTATTAATTTTATGTAGGATTACTAATATATTTATATACATAAAATATCAAACAATTTAAACTTATGTATGTAAGAGAACGGAAAGAGCTAAAATTAATTGGTAATTGTTGAACACGTGGCGACAAGAGGGAAAATCACCCAAATAACCCACTTAGGTCGTATCTATTTCGGTATACACCACCGAAAAAAAAAAATTTCAATTTTAACCCATTTTTCGGTTGGAAAAGTCCGAAATACCCTTTTCATTTTATTTTTTGCGACCTTATTACGACTGACATATAACTGATATACAACTGAAATAAGACAGATGATTTTTTTGCCATCTTTTTTAGAATCAATTGTAACTATATTTAGACTTAATTACGAAGTCGTAATAACGAAGTTGTTTTCGAACGGATAAATATCGTAATTCATTAAGGGTAATTTCGTCTTTTTACAGAAAAAAAATGTGTTATGTTTTCGGTAGTGTACAGGTGAAATAGATGCACCCAAGTGGGTATTTGGTTATTTGGGTAAAAAACCCGCGACAAGATGCGAGATTCACTAATTTTTTTTAGTTAACAAGATTCCCATATTCGGTTATCGAACCGGTTCCCTAAACCGATCTACAAATCTTCTTGCTCTCCGGTTCTGTCCCATAACAGTGTTGGCGAGAGAACTGGGGCGAAAACCCTAAACCTCCAAATCGACAATGGACATGGTGAGATCGCGATTTGCATCGATTTCGCGCCATCTCAGTTCAGCGACGAAACCCAGAAGAGTCCCATCAAAGTACAAGTCTCTGGCAATCGGACAAGCCCAGCAAGCAATCACAGACTATCTCCACTCGACCCGATCCCTCTCCTACACCTTCGCCGAGCACATTGCCAAAAACGCCGCCATTTCCATCCAGAACCTCATCTCGAAGCTCGATTTCTCTGTCACAACGTTCTCTAAATCGATTCGGAAGCATCTCTCTTACCACCCCATTAACGAATTCGAGTTTTTCTTCGAGAGCATCGGCATTGAGTATAGCGAGGTTAACGAGTTCTTGCCTCCTAATAAGTTCTTCTTCTCCGAGGATCGGAGTGTCTTGGACGCGGCTTGTACGCTGTCGGGTTTCGGGTTTCCTTGGAACAGGTTGGGTAAGTTGTATGAAGAGGAAAGTTCGATTTTCCGACAGAGCCCCGATGAGATTACATCCAGGCTTCTCAATTTGAAAGATCATGGATTCAGCACATTTGCAGTGATTGGCATTTGTTTAGCGATTCCTCGCGCTTTGCTTGGGGGTGAGGAATCTCGCTGCTTGTCTGTTAATTTGAAGAGATTGTTTGAGGAGTTTGATACAGAGGATTTTGTTGAAGAGAATGTAGATTCTTGGTTTGCGCTTTGTAGTAAATTCAAGGTGTTTTATCATTTGGGTGGCAATGACAAAGAGATGTGGGAGTTGATAGGTAGACATAAACCTCTTTTCATGGAACACCCAGAGGAAGTTTTGATCCAAAAGACCGAGTTTTTTTGTAGATTTGGTGTTAGGAAGGTTGATGTTGCTCTCTTGATTCTTAAATGTCCCGAGATCATGAGTTTCGATCTGGAGACACCGGTGGTATCTGTTGCGGGGATACTTAAGCATTTTGGATTGAGTGAAGATGAACTTTTGGTCGTCTCTCGGGATTACCCTTACGTGTTTGGTAGAAACAAGATGGCGAATTTGCCTCATGTGATGAGAGCTTTAGATCTACATGATTGGATCTTTGATAGGTTGAGAAATGGAAACCACCATTTTCTTGCCAGCTATTCCCTGAACAATCCCGATGAAGACATAATCGGAGAATATCGGGAGAGATTGGAGGAGATTCAACGCTCGAGAACTCCAACACACACTATGCACAAGTTGGATTTCCTCCACGGCATAGGGTTTGGCGAAAACGCCTTGACCTTGAAGGTACTACAACATGCCCACGGTAGTAGCACCGAGCTAACAGATCGATTCAGGAGCCTACTTGATGGCGGCATTAGATTCTCGAAGCTATGCATGTTGATAAGATTGGCCCCGAAGATCTTGAACCAGAAACCGGGTAGCATAGAAGACAAGCTAAGGTTCCTTCGTGGTGAAATGGGAGCTTCAATGGATTACCTCGATGTTTTCCCGGCTTTTCTGTGTTTTGATCTGGAGTATCGGATCAAACCCAGATTCAGATTCCACGAGTGGCTTCTGGAGAAAAAGTTGTGCAGCCGAAGCTACTCTATCGCGAGCATGGTGGCTACCAGCGAGAAGGCGTTCATAGCTCGCCTCTACGGGCTTCATCCGGCTATTCCAAAACAGTGGCTTGAGCGTTTCTCCTACAGAAAACAGGAGAGAAATGTCTGTTAAAGACATAACAAGAGAACCTAGCTTGTTCCACCCCATGTTCAGATCTTTTTCGGGTTTCTTCTCCTGCCGTGGCGGATTCAAAATTGAAAACTGGAAACCAGAAAGAGGGAAAACGGGGCAAGTTGAATGACTGAATCTCCATAGTGAGGAAACTTCTCATTCGTTAGGTGCTAACACAATGCTCCAGTTCTTCTTTTCTTGTGGTTTGGTGTATTCTGTAAAATGCCATTATTATTTGTATTTTTAAAAAATAATTCTTTTTACCGTTTATTTCTTATATAACCTTCACTCATAAAAAATACATAAAACGAAGAACAAAAAAAAACTATTTTAAAGACTATTTATTTGCTTTTTCAGCTTTTTGTTACGCCTTCGTCGTCACAGAGGCCGAACAAGATCCGGGTGGCCTAATCCCACACGTATCCCAACCGGATCCGGATCCAACACTCGGGTCATAACGCAACGTATCCGCACCCGGTTCCATGGGAAACAGCAACAGCTTGCCATCCATGGACCCGAGCACGTGCCCGACACAATTCGACCCACCCGGGATCCGAATACTCTCCCACGAACAATTCTCCAGCCCAAATACCCGGATCTCTTTCGGATCCTTCCAGTCCAGACAAAAGACCCGGTTCCCCACCGCGACACAGCCCGTCACCATCGCGCTGCGCCATGGTCCACTGAAAACACGCCACGTGTCGGTATCAGGGTCATAGACCTCTACACAATCGGCGGATCCGACGGTGGTGGTTGATCGTCCGCCCATTACATGGAGGCTGTTATTGAAGGAGAAGGCGAAAGCGGAGTATCTAGGGCGTTGGATCCCCTGAAAGAAGGTCCACCGGTTGGCGCGTGGGTCGTACACCTCGGCGGTGGAGAGCGCATAGCCGTCACGGCCATAGCCTCCGACGGCGTAGACTTTTCCGTTGACCGCTGCGAAGGCGAAGCTGTAGCGGGCCTCGTTCATCTCCGGCAACTTGGACCAACTGTGGTTAATTTTTAAAAAAAAAACAAATATTAATAGAAGAAACACTCATTTTGCAAAACTATTTTCTAAATACCATTCGAAAACATGTTCTTATCCATTATCCTATAAGTCACTATCCAAATTGTTGGGTTTTTTTTTTACAAAGTTCAGATTTTTTCATTGGAACTAAAATATGCCTGCAGACGGTGATCCTGGGTCGCCATCAAATTTCTAGATTCTCTTTTGGGTATATCGAAAACGATGAACCCTACTGAAACTTATCCTAAAATGTTTCTTTTAATCATGCCAGAGCATATAATTTTGAGCATATCTATGTGTATATGTACGTGCGTATGTATGCACTGTGCATATTGAATCGAACCTGTTCAGACAGGGATCGAACTGGAACACATCGGAAGAAGCAGTGAATATCCTGTTGGCGATGACAGAGAATCCACCGGCGACGAGAATCTTATCTCCGAGAACGGCGACTCCGAAACCGGACTTGTTCGGACCGGGCATCGGAGGAAGAATCCCAACAATTCTCCCTGAAGAATCTAGAATGTTCCACTGCTTTCGATTCCCGGTGGAGACGAGCACGTGGAGAAGCTCCTCGACCAGTCCTAGAGATTCTCTAACGGCCTGTAAATCGCCGCCGACCAAGAACGACCTCCATCTCCGGCTAACGATGGCCAAGTCCCGGAGCCCCGACCGGCCAACCAGAGCCAGGCACGTGGCAGATACGTCGTTGGGGAGGCCCGGGATTAGCTCGTCGGAGATGTCTGTCGAGGTGAGACGGTCTGGTTTCGATTGCATTGGTCCTTTAATTTTGGTTGTGACGACACACTCTCCGTACGGTCGAATATTGGGGGGGGGGGCCCAATAAATATATGTTTTATTATATGTGTCTGTATATGGACATGATATTTATTTTGGTTCCTCGTCTTGTTTTGATGAATTCGTCGGTCTTATCCTTTTATCGATAGTAGTAGCTTTTGTCGACGCTTTGGAGGAAGCAATGGAAATATACTGAACGTGTAAACAACGGTCGCGTGTGTGGAATAATATACAAAAATTTATAATTAACTTCATAAAACATTATATATGGTCTGTGTTATTCCGTCAAACGTGGAATGTAGAACGTTTCTAATGATTATGGATCAATATTTTTATAAAATTATGAAATCCAATCGAAATTCCCTCTAAATATGAGAATTTATGTCTTTTTTTACAAATATAATAGGTTCATATATAAATCTATATATTTGTATCAGTCCTGTTTGTTATGGCTGTAAATCCAACATGTTATTGCCGTCGAAGATCACACCTTCAAGAATCAAACGTCAAAGCCTTTCTTCCACAAACAAATGCGAATGTTTGAACAGAACGCTGTGGCAGTCAGAATTTGATCAGAGCGCTGGTTAAGTGGGAAGCCGAGGGTTTTATCTGATCACACACTCTCCATTTCGAACCGGTTTCTTTGTAAGGATCGTACATCAAGGTCTCGTGTCCGCAAACCCGAGAGAACAGCAGGACCTTGTCGTTCCACACACCGAGCCTGACCCAGAACCCGCCTTCTCTCGGCGGCACAAACACCGAGCTCCATGAATTCTCATCCGGGTCGAACACTCCCAGGATTCCCGGCATGTTTCTGTCCATGAAATACACCTTGTTCTTCAAGACTGTGTGGGAGTAAACTGAAACCGATTGCTCAGAGTTCAACTCGTCCCATGTTTGGCTCTCCGGGTCATAAACATCGATAAACCTAGTTCCATTCCCTGAAAAAGATCGATTAAAACATAAATATCAGTATTTATACCAATGGGTTGGAATCAGATTAAGACATCATTTAAGAACAGATCGTCTCCATGTATTCGATGCCATTTAAGAACAAATCAGATTAAGACCCCATCTTATAAACCAACGGATAAACCTAGCTCTGCATCGCCGGAAAACATAAGAAACACTGTCACATATAATCCAAATGTCATTTAAACCATCTTAAACCAATCGGGCAGAATCAGATTAAGACAGAATGCAGCCATTTAAGAACAGATCAAGTCTCCATGTATTAGGGTTCAAGCTGGGATTCTTACCAATAGCATAGAGTTTGGAGTTGAACGAGAAGGCAAACCCACGCCAGACAGGGCGGTTCCGACACTCTATAAGGCTCCATTTGTTAGTTTCCGGGTTGTAAACCTCTGCATTGGAAAGGCTGAAAGTATCTCTCGAATACCCTCGAATTACATACAGAAAGCCGTCGACTTCAGCACAAGCAAAGTTGTAACGTGGAACATTCATACTTGCTAGCTTTCTCCAGCTGTGATTAGTCGACAGAATAATCCATGTATCAATAGACGAACCGAGCAATACGCTGAAATCCGACATGATTACGAGCAAGATCCTTCAAAACAATCAATTAGAGCCTATATAGAAGTTTTGGAATAGGAAGGTTTCAGAATATGGGATGCAAAAGCATGGCAATCATGGGGAATCAAATCTTCATGTACAGATTCCCCGTGAACCCTACCAAGAGAATCATCATAGATGCAAAATGTGTCATATCATTCATCTGCTTCGGCAGAACTCAGCATTTTCCCTAAATCAGATTCTCAGATTCCAATAATACGCAAATCAACGAGAAACTAGATGAATCAAATTCACCGGAGAAGATCGGAGATTCAGACCTATTAACAGCGGGATCGAATTCATAAACATCGGCGGAGGCAGAGACGGTGGTGCTGTTGATCCCGGAGCCCTCGATCTCCGTATAACCACCGACGAACACGATCTTCCCGCCGCCGAGCACTGCCACGCCGAAACCGCGCTTCACCGGACCAGGAACTGGAGGGATTTGCCCTAATTTGTTCCCTGAGCCGTCGAAGACCTCCCAATACACCTCTCTCCCGCATTCACTCTCCATGAGAATGCACATAAACTCCTCCACCACTCCCGCCGATTTCCGAACCGCCGCGAAATGTTCGCCGCCGACGAAGGACCGCCATCGCCGGCAAACCCGGGAGAGCGTCCGTACGCTGGAGCGTGGAACGTGGGTGAGGCAGAGCTCCGCCGCGTCGTCGGTCAGACCTGGGATGATCGACGAGTTCATCGCCATTGATTGACTGATTCAGACAACGAAGATTTCTTTCTGATGATTTATCTGATTGCTCAGACAGGTTCGTGTTTATCTTTATACGATTCGGTCAGCTTGTTGAGAGAAGATTTCAGTTAAGGCGCTATTTCCAGGTGCGAGTCCAATGCTCAATAGCCGATAATATCATGTCCGAACGATATAAATGTTTGTGTGGCCGAATAAAAAAATTTGATGAGTATATTTAAAAAAAGGGTTAATTGCATATTCTCCACAAATTTTCGAAAAAATTCCAATTTTCTAATACCAATTTTTAATTTGACAAAAAACTACGTCGAATTTCAAATATTTCCAAATTCCTACACAAAATCTTAAAATATATTGCAATTTCCCCCGTACCTGTAAACGACGTTAAATTCTTTCAATTTTGAGGATAGATTTCGCCAAATCATCATATTTCGCCATATCACCCTGCCATATCAGAAAATAAATAAAAAATAAAATAAAAATAAAAAATTTCTAGTATTTTTTTTAAAACTAATAAAATAAAATAAAAAATACAGAATTTCAAATTTTATTTTTTAAAAATAAAATAGAAAATTACATATACATATACACACTTTTATATCTATACACAATTATATACATATACATATATACATATATATATATTGAATATGTATATATATGGGAATATGTATGTATATATGTATAAATATATATATACATATTAGTATGCATATATATACATATATATATACATTTATACATACATGCATGCATACATACATATATATATATTCAATGCATATATAGATATATATGAATATATATATACATATTATTTATGTGTATATATGTATATGTATATAATTATGTATGTAGATGTATATATATGTGTATATGTATATGTATATAATTGCATATAGATATAAAAGTGTGTATATATGTAATATGTAATTTTTTATTTTATTTTTAAAAAATAAATTTTAAAATTCTGTAATTTTTTAAAAGTTAAAAAAAATATTTCATTTTATTAGTTTTTTAAAAAAATTCTGGAAATTTTTTATTTTATTTTATTTTTTACTTTATTTTCTGACGTGACAAGATGATGTGGCAAAATGTGATGATTTGGTGAAATCTGTATCACGTGGCATGCCATGTCAGCATTAAAATTGACGGAACTTAATGTCGTTTACGGATATGGGGGAAATTGCAACACATTTTAAGATTTTGTGTGGGAATTTGGAAATATTTGAAATCCGGTGTAGTTTTGTGTCAAATTAAAAATTGGAACTTTTTCGAAAATTTGTGGGGAATATGGGATTAACCTTAAAAAAATAGAAAGAACTAAAACTAAAATAAAAATTAAATAAGCCGAATGTTTTGATCAATATTTTTTTAAATCGAATTGATGATAATTTTATATTTTTTTATTTTTATCTTTGCGGTTAAAAGGCTAAGCCCAATATTGTAGGCCCATTACAAATTGGGCCGGCTTCGGTTTGTCTCCAAAACGACGCCGTCCATAGTTTTCGTCCTCAACTGTGTACTCTGATGTTCTCCATTTCTGTGGATTGGCCCCAAATTATATACTCCCGAGAGGAGTTCATCTTGAATCAGAAAGGAGTTTCTGAGAATGCCGATCGCTTCGATTTCCATCCTCCGCCATTGCTACCGAGCTCCGGTGTCCCTCACGGCTTTCTTCCGATGCACGGTTTCGCATCAAGGCGGCAGCGGCAGCGGCGGCGGCGGAATCGGCGGGAGCTTCTATGTTCTCGCGGCGAGAAGAGAGAACCCTAATGTCTCCCGAAAGCCACAGCCGAGCAAGAATATGCTCAGAGCCAAACACACCTTCAAGGAGTACTCCTCGCTCGCGCCGGTTCTCTCTCCGGACGACAAGCCTTCTCTATCGGAGTCTCAAGCTGTCGGAACCGTCGCCACCGCTCAGGCCAACTTTATGCGTGTCATTGTCCACGATGGTCCTAGTTTTGAGGAGGAAGCTTCTGAAAGCTCGGTCGATCATCAATCGTTGAGAACCGGCGTTGAGCTGCTCTGCGTGGTGAAAGCGGTGCTGAAGAAGATAAGGAGGAGGGTTCTTGTTGGGGATAAGGTTCTCGTTGGATCGATAGACTGGATTGATCGAAGAGGAATGATCGAGAACGTGTTTCAGCGACGCACTGAGATTCTTGATCCTCCTGTGGCGAATGTTGATCACTTGTTGGTGCTTTTCTCTTTGGATCAACCGAAGCTCGAGCCGTTCATGCTCACGAGGTTCTTGGTGGAGGCCGAGTCCACCGGGATTCCACTCACACTCGCTTTGAACAAGTCTGAGCTAGTCAACGAAGAGGTAAAGACCAATTTCTATCGTTTCTTCCAGTTGATTCAAGTGATAAGTCTGATAACTTCATCAGATCTTGATTAGGGTTTTGTATGGATAGAGGAAGCTTGTAAAGTTCATCATATTTGTTACCACCCTTCCCCTTGCTTGTTGTATTGATGACTGTGCCTTGCTTTGCAAACATATCCATATCCATTACATGTGATCTGATGGAGTTGATGATTCAATTCCAGGAACTTGAATCATGGAAGGCAAGATTGCGCAGGTGGGGATATGAGCCGATGTTTTGCAGTGTCGGAACCAAACACGGACTTGATGCTGTTGCATTTAACCTTCGAAACCAGACTTCTGTGATTGTCGGGCCTAGTGGTGTCGGGAAATCTAGCTTAATCAATGTTTTGAGAAGCAACTCCGGTGGTCCCCGTGCCATGGAAGATGATAACTGGTTTGAACCTGTGAGTTTTTCTCCCTCCTGTCTCCATGTATGGAAAAGTTGCGTCTTGTCCTGATTTCTAGCAATTGTTCTATTCAGATCTTAGGCAGCAAGTGGTTTGAAGACCAACGAGTAGGCGAGGTCTCGACAAGAAGCGGTCGTGGGAAACATACTACCCGAAATGTCTCGCTACTGCCGATATCCGCAGGTGGTTACCTCGCCGATACTCCCGGCTTTAATCAGCCTAGTTTGCTGAAAGTAACGAAGCAATCTCTCGCTCAAACGTTCCCCGAGGTTTGTAATTTCTATCCTTACACATTTCACCACGCTCATCATCATCATACTCATGAATCGCGATATTATTTCATACTTCTCTGTGTTTCTAGATTCGGGAAATGCTCGAATCTGCTAAATGTGCGTTCAAAGATTGCTTGCATATCGGGGAACCAGGATGTGCGGTGAAAGGCGACTGGGAAAGGTATCCTTACTATTTGCAACTGCTCGACGAAATCAGAATCAGAGAGGAGTTCCAGCTGAGGACTTTCGGGACCAAACGGGAAGGCGACGTTAGGTATGACACAGCGCAATGACACTTTTATCTCCATAGATGTTGGATACAGTGCTTGACAGAATGGCGGACATTGACAGGTACAAGGTGGGAGACATGGGAGTTAAACAAGCGGAACCAAGGCTAGAATCCAAGAAGCATAGGAGACAGTCGAGGAAGAAGATAAAACAGAACATGCTTAATGAGTTGGACGAGCTCGACGAGGAAGATGAATACTCGTACCTCGAAAACGACCCCATCGTCAGGGCAATAGAGAACGAGAACAACTGAAACAACTGAGTTTCGCAACCTTCCCCCATGTAAATATTACGACAACGAACCCTCTTCTGGTCCAAATCGGGTAACCACTGTTCTTAATCCTTCATGTCCTAATCCTTTCTCCGACCAAAGCAACTCTTCTGAATGATGCATAGGTGAGTGTTGTTAACACAAAAGCTTCCAAGAAATTGTCTCGCGGTACAAATCCAGAGGGCTAAACTACCCATGGTCGATGGGATATCGATGAACGTGAGTCGGGGTATTCGTATTTTTAAGAATGCCCAGTCTCAATATTGGGTATCCGATGACAGCGGTAAGCACATTTCTGCATCCAAAGCAGTTTTTCGACCGAGAGACATTTCTCCCCGCCCTTACGACGAGATGGTTAAATTGGACAAAATGAGAGTCTCGTAAAATCCAAAAATATCAATTGCGGTAAAACAAATGGTTTCATCTATGGTGACAGTGAACAAAAATCTCTTTGAAGAAACAAAAGATACTTGGGAACGAAACGGATATGAGCTCTAAGATGACACTGGTTTCTTCGACTTGGTTGCCAACTGCGACTCAGGCTGCAATAACACCGGCAAAAACAACCCACTCAGACGAGAACATGTGAAAACACGGCTGGGTTTCAATGTCGGGTTCTTACCTCTTTCTTAACGGGTTCTTCTTTCTCCGACAAAATCAACTCGATATGGCATGGGGATGACATAAAAGCTACAGAAATCAGAGAAAGATTTCATTAATATTTGACCGAAGAACGATTTCATTGACACGTAAGGTTGTCGAGACATACGGTTGATTCTTCCGTGAGCACGATAGGTTCTACGCCTTTGTTTCCTTGCTTGATTCACCTGGATATGCGATATGTGGAGGGCATCGACATCCAAACCCTTAACCTGAAAATAGTATAGGACTCTCCTCTATAAGAACACGAGACCAAAGCCAGCTCAAACGAAAAACGGGAAAGCATTATTACCTCGGCATTGCTCTCGGCATT